GATGATAATTCTTGTGAGAACGCCATAGAAGTTGATTTAGCAAACGTCCCATCATCCTTAAGCGAGGTGTGCTTATGATATTATTTCTTGCAGATATTGTCCTCTGATTTGTAGCATGCAGGTTTTGGGAAAATTTCGTTATTAACTGAAAATTAGTCATTGCTAGCTTTGCAGCCAGTCGAGATAGACGATTTGAAGGAGTTGAGCAGAACAAGTCAGATAGACGAATCGGACATGCGTGGGTGTAAGCGAATTCTAGACGATGATGATGATTTCGGCAGTGTCCACAAGCAGCGGTAATCAGACTCTTTAGTTTTCTTTTTGGGTTTTATAATAATCATGTTGAAATTTAACTGGTTGACAAGTCCTATGTGCGCTGTCAGTACGTTAATAATTTTTATCAGTTTGGTATGCTGTTCGGAATACTACGCTCGCATGGTTGTTTTCGCGCAGCGCACAAATAGTAACGAAGTTACTCTTTCTAAAATCGCGCTAATCATATGATTTCTCTTGTGAAATTTTTGTATCTCTGTGAGAATATGTTGAGCATGTTACAATAGAAAGAGTCATATCATACAGTCGTCTGGCGACTCGTCTTTCTTCTGCAAACTGAATAGCCGTAAAGACTTTGGTGCGAAATACCGAGAAGGTGAAGAAATCCGCCTTAGTTGTTCCCTTTTTCGCACCTGTTCCATCTTTAGCAGGTAGTTCACCCGTTCACACTCATTCAAACTTTTAGCAATTTATGGCTTATTTCTTCACTCCTTTTGCATTGATACTATTGAAATTGAAGCTAGTTCAAAATCCTTGGCTTTGTTGAATGTTTTCAGGTCTTGTAGTCCACTTCTGATTCAATACATTTTGCGCCGAGAAAGGGCAAAAAATGAAAAAGAGCATTGAATTTGATAGTCCGGTAGTCCTTTTGCTCTACGATCGCTAGGCAGAGTGAGGATATGCGCGCGACAAGAGCAGGATTCGCTCAACTTCTATAATATGAACGCGATTGCC